GCCCCGCCCCCGCCCGGCCCTCCTCCAGCAGCATCAGCCTCCGCCCCCTGCTGCCCGGGTCACTCCCTGGAGACTCTACACCTGCCCTGTGTCCTCCTGGACACCCGCAGGGCCCCAAGCCTGCCGTGCAGAAATGATGCGTGGGCACAGAAGTTGGTTGTTTCATTTTCAAAGCTGCGTCCCCAGCACCCAGCGGCCTGGACACAGCGGGCCCTTGGGGCAGCCAGTGGTCAGGAAGCTGCGAGGGTGTCTCGCTGTCCCCCCTGCCCGCAGCTGCCCCGGGAGCTGGGACGGGACCGACCCTCTTATCGGAAGGTCTCTTCCCCTCCTCCCCGGGGCCCGCAGCTCGGCCACTCGTCCTGCGTCCAGCGGCCAGAGCTCAGCCTGCCTTCCCCATGTCCCCAGGGGCCGCCTACTTCTTCCGCGGCAGTGAGTACTGGAAGGTGCTGGACGGCGAGGGGGCAGTGGCGCCCGGGTTCCCGCGGCCCACGGCCCAGGACTGGCTCGTCTGCAGGGACGCACAGCCCAGCTCCGAGGGCGCGGACGGAGCGGCGGGGGCCCATGCCCGGCCGGGGCAGCGCGGCCAGAGCCGCGCCGAGGACGGCTACCAGGTGTGCTCCTGCAGCTCCCTGGCTCCCCGCCCCCTGGGGGCCTCGGGCCGGCTGCTGGCCACCATGCTGCTGCTGCCGCCAAGCGTGCTGTGGACAGCAGCCCGGGCCCCACCGCTGTGATAGCCAGTGCCGGCTTGCAAGACCCATGGGTGACAGCCTGGAGCCACACAGGGCAGGACTCGTGCCCCTAACCCTCCAGCACCCGGAGCCAGAACCCCCGAGGAGACCGACGTGTGCGGCTGGGGGGCCCGGCCTTGCAGCTCCTGAGCAAAGCCCGGGTCCAGCCTCCCAGGCCGGATGGTGGCAGCCCTGGGCGCTGCCCCTCAGCAGTCAGCACCGATGCTGCCGGACAACAGGAGCCATCCTTCCCGCCGCAGGACTGGGTCACACTTCGCTGACGGCGGGCGGGGCTGGGGGCGTTCACGCAGGCCTCCCCCCAGCCCCTGGGGCCCTGGCCACCCTCGTCCTGGCCACACCGCCGCCCCTGGTGCTTCCGTCTTCCCGTGGGGGCTTTTGTCCCAGTCCCAGTGGGCCCGCCAGTCGCCTTGCTCAGGGCAGCCCCCCACTCAGATGAGCCCCGAGCTGGGGCCACCACAAGTCTCCCTGTGACATCTGCCAACAAACATGACCTCTCCCTGCTTCCTGAGGCTCGGGCTCCGCTCCTGCCACTCCCGGGTGGGGGCCGTGACCCCAGACCCACCTGCGCCGGGGAGGGCTGCACGGTGGTCCCTCCCCGCCTCGTTCACCAGCACCGCCCTCTCAGCACCCCCTCCGGGACTGCGTGCCCCCTGGGTGTCACGCCCATATCAGGAGGCCCCTGCCGCAGGCTGACGCACTCAACAGCACCTGCCTGCACGTGAGGGACATGCAGAACGCGACACCCCATCCTCCCTCCCGGGCGGCACCTGGGCTCAGCTGCCAACGCAGACGGCCGCCCGCAGGAGATGCAGGAGCAGCCCTGCCGGCCAGTCCGGGCGGCCGCCCCGCCTCTGCTCGCCCGGCCAGGAGCCCAGGCCGCGCTGTGTTCCTGGGGGGCGGACCGCTGGCCAAGACGAGTCACTGTCCCCTTCCTGGAGCCGCAAGTCGGTGCAGAGAGCCACCAGCGGGGCTTTAGAGCAGGGCCCCGGCAGGTGTCAGCCAGCAGCAGCATCACCGGCAGCCTGCCCTGCCTGGACCTGCTGACCCGAGCACTAGTCGTGGGGGGCCCCTGTGTCAGCCCCCCACCTGGAGGTGTGAGGCACAGGGAAGCGGGGACCACTGCTTTCTGGGGGTCGGAAAAGGCTATCTGCGGGGATGGTGAGCAGAAAGGGAGGAGGAGTGGCTTGTCTGGAGGGGGCGAGGGCCGCAGAGGGCAGGGCCGGCGCCGGGGCCTCATAGGCCAGGCTGTGTGTGTGTCCAGAGGTGACCACTGACCCCCCCGCTAGCCCCAGGGAGGGGCGGGAACGCTGCCATTCTCAGTGGGGGCTCGGCCTGACGTCCTGCCGTCCAGGCCCCGGAACCCGATGCTTGCCATCACAGCCGCCGGGCAGCAGGCCCGCTGCTCACTGACCCCCGCCGGGCCACGTCCCGCATCCACTGTGCACCATCTGGCCCTGAGCGCTCTGCCTGTCACACCAGACGGAGGCTGGGTGCCTCCCGCTCATGGAGGACGGCCCCACACGCACCCCACGTCATCGCTGGTGGCCTTGGGAGCCTCGTGCATTTGGGGAGGGGGGTCCCCTGGGTGCTCAGCCCGGGGGACAGAGTGGCCTGGGTCTGCAAGACCCCAGCCATCAGGGCAGGCGGTCTCACTCGTATGTGAAAGCCAAACACTTGTATAAAGCTTCCCACCAACCTGCCTGGACTGCAGCAGTGGTCAGTGGGCACCAGCGGTGGGCCCCCGTGTCTGGTCGCCGGGGACAAGTTACTGGTGACAGCAGCGGCTTCCCCGGGGGCTGCAGAGCAGGGCCTGGGCGCCCGCGAGGACCCACGAAATCCTCTGCTGCCCCCCATCTTTTTACACACGCACACATACGTTCCTAAGCAATTTCGTACAGAGACGTCACCGGTAGAGGACGAGAACCGGTTTTCTTTTTTTTTTTTTAACCTAAATCGTGGGAACAATGACGGCTCTGAGTCACTTTTTTGTGTATTCCCTGCAAACCAGAGTTTTCTCCCAAGGTCAGTCGGGAATACGGGACACAGCAGACCCTGGCTGGGTTTCGGCCTTTACCGCCAGCATCCTCTGTCGGCAGGACCCGGCCCAGCCTCGCGGTGGCCCCGCTGCCCCGGGCTCTGTTCTGGCACAGCTCGCTGACCGCCACGACCTTGGGACTCGCGAAGGTCCAAAGGTCACAGGCTGGCCAGCCTGGGGACGGCGCCCTCGGCGTCAGCGGCCCGAAGCGCCCCCACGGGTCCTGGCTCCGCGTCTCCGGCAGGAATGGCACAGAAGGGTGCTGCATGCGCGGTCTTCCAATTTTAGGCGAGTCACTCTTTAAATACCTGGAGGTTTCACGTGAAATTCTGGATTTTCGGCCGAAGTCTAGCTTTATCCCGGGCAGTGCTGCCTCTGCTTGGACAAGCTTTGGCCCCCCCGGGGGTGGAGATTGCTGCAGCTGTGGCGACAGACCCAGAGACCCCTCAGGAGGAGGTCAGAGGGCACGGTCAGCGTGGCGGCCCACTCAGCGCACGCCTGGCCCGGTGCTGGCTGCTGGCTGCCCCCGGTGTGACCCAGCCTTGTGACCACACACTCGTGTCCCCGTGTGTGTGGGGGTCAAGTTTACAAAACACATGTACACAGGTGACCTCGGGCCAGAACACGTCTGCTCTGGTCCCCACTTCACAGGCGGGGAGACCGAGGCCATGCTCAGCTCAGGCAGAGACCCCGTCCCCTTTTCTCTCAGACCTCCTGCCAGGCCCACGGCTCCGCCTTTCAGACACACCCCGAATATGCCTCCCGCCTCAGCCCTGTCCCAGCCACCATGGCCTGGCCTGGGGCACGCCAGCCACCTTCCGCCTGGCCCCTCCCGGGTCCTGTGAAACGGTCCCCCCGCCAGTACCCTCCCCAGGGTCCCGTAGCTTCTAGGGAAAAGTCTAGGGCTGGCCCCTGCTTCCGCCTCTCCTCTGCCTCCCCAGACCGTGGTGGGGGTCCTGCCTGGGGCCCTCGCACAGGCCTCCGGGTCTGTCCAGTGTCACCTGCACAGCAGCACATCCCTGACACACGCATACCCCCCGCCACCTGAAGTCACAAACGGCTGTCACTCCCCACAAACACTCCAAACTGCCCCCTCTGTTCCTCTCCGTGGCACCCGTGACCTCCGACCACAGGCAGCTGCCAGGCCAACCTGCGTCTCGCTGGTCCTCTCCTCCCCACTGGACCATGAGGGTTGGGGCCGCAGCCTGTGCCTGGGACAGTGCCGGGCTCTCGACGTCTGCAGAGCGAGTGACAGGGACAGCCCTGCGGGTGTTGGGGCCAGGCCACCTCCTGCACTGCCATCCCAGGCTTTCTTCCCCTCGGCCCAGGAGCAGCTTTGGGGGACGGCCCAGCAAGGGGCCATCTGACAGGACACTTGAGAGGGCCAGGAGGCGGTGACGGTGACGTGGGGACAGTGGCAAGAACCAGACGGGCCCCGGGCCTGCACGAGCGGCCCCCAGCCATGAACCCCGGGCCGTGGGCTCCGGGCCGGGGCCTGACCGTCCGGCTCTGGGGGCCCAGCCTGGACGGCACTTCACTCTCCCTGCGCCCGGCGCTGACGTCGGGGGAGACCTCAGGAGCCCTCGTAGCCAGCTTTTGGGAGACCAGAGGCTAGTGCTGTGCGAGAGGCCACCTAGGGACGTGCGCCCAGTGACACAGGCCCCCAGGGTGCAGGCGAAAATGCCAGATGCAGGGAGATGGGCAGGCGCAGTAGGTGGCACCCAGCAGCCCGTCCGTTCACGAGGCTTCCTTGAATGCGGCCGCCGTCCACGTGACCCTATGGAACCATGCTGCAGCCAAGGGCACCAGACCACACGCTGCTTCTGCAGAGCCCCGGCCTCCCGGAGACTGACCGGCCACGTGGGGAGCACGGGCCACCCCTCGCAGCACACGCGCCTAGGAGGCAGGACGCAGGACGCAGGGGGCAGGGGCGTTTGTCGTCACTCAGCTCCCAGGGCACACGGAGGCCAGCAGGAGGGTGACATGGGTTGTGGGGCAAGTGAGTAGAGACACGAGTGTGACCGCCTGCTAGGACCCGGGGTGGAAGGTTCCAGAAGGAAGGGAGCCCCCGGGGGTCTGCATGGGCAGCCAGGGCTGGGAGCTGCTTTGGGACCGTCCCATGGAGTCTGGAGCTGCAGGCTGGCCCTCGCCACAGCCGGGGAGGTGGCCATCGGCCAGGGTTGCGTCACCCCAGGAAGGTCCTGAGCTCCAGGACACGCAACGTGAGCCTGATGCAATCGCGGGCCACCTTGCGGCACGGCCGCCCTGCCCTGCCTGGACTCTGCCCTCCTGGGCTCCCTTTGTCGGTGGCCGGGCTGCTGCCGCCCGCTGTGTGGTGCCCAGCAAGTCACTTCCGGTCTCTGAGCCCCCCTGTCCCACCTCAGTGACCCTGTGGGCGTGAGGCCAGGTGGATGCTCCCAGCCAGGCCATGTCTGTCTGCTCCGTGCTCCCTAACCCCGTGACTCCCACAAATTACTCAACAGCTTCATCCGCGAACTGGAGGTAAACACACCTGCCCGCCGAGCCAGGTAAACGAGCAACTGCACCTGAAGGTCCGAGCATACCTGGGCAGCATCGGAGTGCGGGAGCGGGGGGTCATTCATTCATCTGGCCGGGGGCTGCTCCCCACCGCCCCACAGCCCCCCCCACCACCACCCTAGGCTTCGTCTCAGGCCCTGGCAGCCATGCCTGGGGAGTGGGCGGGCTGACTGGGTTTGACCTCCAGGCCAGAGCAGAGGAATCCCACCCATCAGCTCAGAAGACTGCCCAGCGGGCCTGGCTCCCTGCTCTCCAGGGTCCCACAGAAGCCTCCCTGCCCCTGAGGGCATCCAGGTGTGAGACCTCCCCAGGCTTCATAATCACCCCCGAGACAGAGAGCACGCTGAGGCAAATCGATTGGGAGCTTGCCAAAGCTTATCACTGGTCAGCAAGGGACCCAGCAGGAGAT